ATGAATACAGTTGGTAAACGAAAATTTTCACCGAAAAACACTGATGAAGAAGTTATCCTTATGCTATTCCAGACACACAAGGGTTAAATGAATCTCGGTAATTTCGGCCTCGTTCGTCAAAAAAAATAATCACCATTGCATTAACATTATGGTAAAGCAGATGCTGCAAATCGGACATTTACATTTCAGGTTCAACTTACGGGCCCGAGGTGTACTTGTTTCCGTGGGAGCACCTGAAGCTATGGTGAGTGAATCAAAAGTATGAAAGCAATCTTACTTTGTTTTTGTGGTCCTCGAGTTAATTCTGCACGTTCGGATTCGGTCAGTAACTGTCGGCTGAACAAACACAAGGACCCGGTTAAGTGTTAAGCATAATCAAGTATCGAGCAACCAAATGACTGTTCCGGAGCAATGCAAAGAAATATCTTCGAAATATGTCAATAGTGGTATTACCTTATGTCGAACTGTTCAATTTCATCGTAGACGGAATTCTGGAGAACGCACTAAGTTGTCTCAAAAACGTAGGTACTGAATGGGCAACTAGAGAAAAGCTGTGCGATTTAACGTACGCCGATGACATCGTTTTTCTGTTCGAATGTATGGAGGAGACTAAATAGCCAGGACTGTTTTTCCAACTTAAACACTTGCGTGACCAGCGATGGCAGCACAGCAAAGGAGATAACCGCAAGCATTTTCAAAGCTCAAACAGCGTATGCAGGACTGAAACACCTTTGGCGTAGATAGGACATTTCACCGAAGTTGAAAGGTAGTGTATATTGTGCTAATGTTCGTTCAGTTCTGCTTTATAGTTGTGAAACCTTGCATTTTTTTATTACACACCTTTGTGTGATGCACAGCAGACGGGGAAAGAGCCACGGTCACGAGGAACTGCTGTTCACTGCCGGAAACCGGCAAGCACCGGGACTTGGAGTAGCGAACCACATAATACCCCGCTGTTTTAGGCGTGCCATCGAACCGGACGAAAGCAAAGCCGCCTACCACCCAAAGCTGGGACCATAGGGTCCAAAGCACACCGGCGACAACGACTAAACCACTGCGCCGTCGCCACTATTTTTTCCATCGACTGGAAGTTTTCGATTATCGTAGTTTAGTGAACGTGGGATGGAGCGAACGGGTTAGTAATCTGGAAGTAAGCCGTCGTGCATTTGGTAGTCTATCAGGTATAAACATTCTAGCACATCGAATTCAGATTAGTAGACTTCACTGACTAGGACTCGTATTGCGTAAGCCCAGCTGTTGTCTGCCGCACGGCGCTTTACTCGCTGTAGCCGCTCCGGGCTGGAGAAAACCCTGAGGAGGTCAACAGATGACGTGGAAACGAGGCACGAAGAAAAGCACAGCTATTAGGTAGAGTAGGTGTCTCTCGCCTTCCAGATTGGGATCCGAAAGACTCCGCGACTGGTTGGTTGGAGACATTGAAGGATATGGCAGCGAACAGACAGTGGTGGCATTCTCGTGATTTCTCGTTAGGCCAGAATGTTGGAAACGGTATGTATGCAAAGTTGGATTATGTACTCTGTGTGTGGACCGCAGAGGTTCACACTCTTCTCTTTACCTTTAAATAGGTCCAATCCCTGTTCATATTAAATTTTGCCACTAACCTTGTATGCATTGCGAGTTGGCTCTCGATCAGTGAAGTTCACTTCACCGTATTTCACTGTACGATGATGATGAGAAACAACTCGCTCGGAGAGCAACTCTCATTTAATTCACATGGACAAGGAAGCACTTAATCCCAAAAGGCGATTTATTACGTGAACAGTTTTTTGTTACAGTTTGTCGGTGTCATAGTTTTTCTTCATGTTTTTTATATATTAGACTTTATGCTGCCAAAACGGTGCCAGCTTCATTCGATGAGGATCAACTCAAACCAAGTAGGATAAAATTTCTCGAATCGGTTGGTGTCGTCGTAACTTCCTTTGTGTTTCTGGTGCCTAATCATTCTCAACACAAACGATAAATCTCATGGATCTGGGCTATCCTACTGGACGCCCGCAGAACCCTCCCTCCAGATGCCACAGATGAAATGGCGATCAACTCCCTTAAACGCCNGAGAAAGCTGCGATGCTTGGTCATAGTCGCAACCTTATCCGTATACCTAGGAAGAAAGGGACACTAGGAATCCGATGGCACACTGATTCACGATGAGCGACACCGTCTTGATCCATGGGATGAACACTTAAAGGCTCGGTTCAACTGGTCCCCATCGACATCTGACCCATCACTCTCCACCTCGACTGGGCAAATGCTCCCAGTTGATGATAGTCCTCCATATGAACTGGGGGTTTNTTCCCGGGAAAGAAGTTATCTCGAAAGGCATAGAGCCTCCGGCCCAGATGAGCTGTTCCCATCGGCTTTTGAGGATGGAGTCTCAGCGTTAGTCTTGGAGTTAACGATACTCCTGGGCTCAATATGAGACACGGAACTGGTGCCAAATGAATGGTCTGAATCGATCATCTTGCCGATTTACAAGAAAAATGACAGATCATTTCGTGAAAACCACAGAGGCATTAGTTTAGTCAACGCTGCCTCTAGTC